AGCTAGAAAGCTAAAATTTTAAGGGTATGTCCACTGTCCACTTATGTCTTAATGAACTTCAAACCAGTCTCTGGGTATACGTGATGTCCACGTATGGGCCCGTCAAATTTTTTTTCGCTGCTAACTCGAGAACATGAAAAGCTAGAAAACTGGAATTTTAAAGGGACGTTTCCCGTCCACGTAGGTCCTAATGTGTTAAAACCTAGCCCCAGAGTATGCGAGTTTCTTATGTACAAGCTCGTGAAAGTTTTTTCCGACTCAGGGACCGGGAAAGCTAGAAAGCTAAAATTTCAAACGGGTGCAGCTTCACAGTTCTGGCGGCCATTCTTTTAGCCAGGAGCATTTGCTGGAAAAACCTGTGCCAGTAGCGACAAAAAATCGGAGGAACTGTGCAAAAAACGCATCTCTCGCACCGGTAATCAGTGCGCTGGCCAATTATTTACAAATTGTGAGAATTAGTTTATTTTTCATCAATTGGAATCCATCATTTCAGTTGAGCAAATCAGAGCAATTCAAGATTTAGTAAAATAGTATCCGAAAAGACAGGCCAGTAGTTTTTTTAGGGAAATCTCGTGAATACTGCCAAGTGGATTACGCGCTGCGCGGTCCTGAAATTTTCCACTATACGTTTTTAGTACCACTGGTAAACTGTGGTGCACATATGCACTGAACAGACGGTTGTTACTAATTAGAAGATATCTGGTTTAAAGTCGAAAGGCTTAGCGCAGCTAATCCCGACGTCTAAGGTCGTCTCAGTAGTATCGCTAGCATGGAAAAACCACCACTGTCTAGACAATCCTGGCATCTCGGAACTTTTTGGTGCTGGAGCTCTGTTGAGATTAGTAGCAGCCAAGCTATCTTTTCTTGTCAGCTTAAGCGCTTTGTTTGTGCTGGATTTCTGATAACTGATGATTTGTGGTCCTCCTTCCTCTTGTAGTCCTCTTGGTCCTGGATATTTATAGTTTATATTCCTATACTTTCCACATGACCCCAGACGACACTGCAGATTTAAAGTCCCATGCTAGCAATCGCAGTTTAACTTTAAAATGAACTATTTGATGATCATCCGATCAGGAGGTGCATTTCTAATCGACTCCTCCTTAAGGGAACTTGAAAAGTGAGCTGACTTGAGAGAACAGCTGATCGAAAACCAGTTACAAACTTACTGGGACTGAGAGTGTTGCTTGCACCGAAAAGTTCCATGAATCTGTGTATTGTTCTGGACATTCTTCCTCGACCTCTGCCCACCCTTTCGTAAAGCTCCTTTTCATCGTATTGTGAAAAAGGGACGATTGCTTCATCAGCCTGACAGTTGTAGTTGCCACGCATCAAATTCTGCAAATTATAATAATTTAAAAGGTTTGCATTACAACGAAGACTAGCCTTAAACACCGACAGGCATAAATTTTTTCTTTTTTACAAAAATAATGAGAAGGGTTGCTATTAATAGCGATTTTTTTATAAAAAAATACAATGATTAAGACCAAAAAATTATTACTCGAAATTATTTTTTGATCTGTAAAGGTGATGTTGAGTTATTGCCCTTGTGGGACAAATTTCACATTATCAATTTTCTGTCGAAGGTTTTCGGGGCCATCCATGGCGCGATTTTTGAGTTATTTCTTTTTTTGAATTATTGCTATTTTTGTGTTATTGCCTTTCGATTTTTTTGAGTCGCACAATTTCTGAGTTATTGCTTCATTAGCAGCAAAGATCAAATGTAATTCATATCCTTGTTCTTAATCTACACGACCGGCAAATTTTTAGTTGCACTGATCAATACTGCGTCGTTTGATAGCCAGCCTGCTGGCGATCCTGACATTCGTTTGTCTTCTGGGAGGTCGCCATAGTTTAAAGGGCGGATCTCCACAATGAAGCATTTTTGGCCAAGCTTTAGCATTTTAAAAATGCCACCAATAGATTAAGCGTCACAATCTCATTTTGAAGAGTATCAAAGCTTGGCTGCAATGACCTCACCATGCCCAGTCAGAACTGAGGTTCTTTTTCAAAAGCGTGAAGAACCCAAAATACCCAAAAAACTCACGATGGTATTCATTATCATCCATTCATCCCAACTCACGCAGACGCGAAACCTTCGTCCAAAACCAAACTCTTTGTTGATCAACGCAAAGGCGTCATAGAATACAGGAAAGAGCCGCAGTATCCATTCCTTTCGTTTTTCTCTGTCAGCCGGTATTTTCCCTAAGGAGGCTGAATCTAGCCGGAGAAATTCATCGGTGTATCGATAGACCCAGCTTATTATATGCTGCAAATACTTAGGTTGAAGCCTTTTAAAGAGGAATGTAAAAACTGTAGAGACAGCTAATGCGCAAAGTGAAAGATAAGTTTGAAGACTGGTTTTTTGGTTTTTTTAGTATTCCCCGCCCCGCGTTTCTGATTCATTCATTCATTCATTTTGTTGGTAAATTAATACTGACGTATGTTAAGAATATCGCTGCAGATGATATTTACGGCATAGAAATTGGGCTCACTTCCTTAGCAATGCATTTTCAAAAATCAGTTTTCGAAGATTATTTATGAGATACTTGTTTCAAGGTTTGCTGAATAAAAGGAAAGCTATCCGATGATTCGAGATTCGTTTGCTTATATTCCTATGCTGTATCATGCCGACTGCTTGCTTTTTTTTAATTGCTCGTCCGTCGTGTTTGTAAACTGTTCGCCGACCATTTTCGATGTTTCTCTTATTCTGTCATCTGTTGTCATCAGTCTTCATAAATCGCCTTTTTATGTTTTTTGTGCTGTGCAACGATAGTACAAAACACATATTCTCCACGGTTGTGTTTGTGTGTGCGCGCGCGCGTTCGCAGCAACTTGTCCACAACCTTCAACACATTAGCTGGGAAGCTGGAAATTTAGGGTAATGTTCCCCATCCACGTGCGACCCTGCAAATTTAAAATCAGTCTCCTCTTGCCCGCTAGTACCACCTACGGACCCGTATAATTTTTGGCAGAGAAAATTATCTCGCGAACCACGGAAGCCAGGAAGCTAAAATTTTACGGGTACGCCCGCTGCCCACATGCGACTCAAAAAAATTTAAATTCAGCTTTCCAGTGCCCGCGGGTAACATGTACGGCATGGTGGAACTTTTGACGGATGAATTATTTCTCGGGAATCAAGCAGGTTGGGAGTTTGAAATTTTGAACTGATGTCCCCTGCTAACAAATGACCCCACAAATTTGAACTCAACCTTCATGCACCACTGAGTACCACGTATGGCTTCATGAAAGTTTTGGAAGGGAGATTGTTATCTCGTAAATTGCAAAAGTTAGAAAGCTGAAATTTTAGCGTGGCATTTTCTGTTCATATGCGACTCCGCAAATCTTCGACGTCCCCGTGGAAGTTTTGGCGGGAGAAATCATTGCATTTGGGGCCAGGAGAGCTAGAAGACTGAAAATTTCAGAGTATATATTCTGCCTAAACAAAGGCTTCTGTTACGATGAAGAGAAGACGTTAAAAGAATGTTACGCAGATTTTTCGGACGGTGGTACGACGGGCTTCGACGAAACTTGGATGAACGACGATATGCTGTATGCGCTTGATGGAGAGACTCGGGTAAACAAAACGAACTTCATCAGCACAAATAAAAGTTCACAGTTGGATACTTGAGTCGGCGGGGCTAAGTCGGACGATTGCAGCGAAACTGCTGCCGGCGTAGGACGCTGATCATTGGAGCGCAGCAATACACTGCTACAACTGAGTACTGAACACTGAACACTGAATTCTACAACAAAACTGCGGACTTATGTGCTTATCACAAAGGGCGGGACAGATCATAGGGATCGAGAGGTCAATCTGCCGCGTGATTCTGGATTGCTCTTTGCTTCTCCTGTGCGCCATCTTTTGCTAGCTCTGCACTTCACAAATTCGAATTCGTTTCCTAATTATGCCGAGCTCTCACAAATTAACACATGAAGGTTTTGTTGCAAAAATCGCTCAAAAGCCAGAAAACTTGGAGACTGAAATGATGAAAGGATATTCATCTTTCGAGTTTTCAAATTTAGCTTTCACGTACCAGTGCGTGAAATTTTTCGTGGGAAATTCCGCAACTTAGGAAACAGACTGCGTTTCAACTATTTTTTCACAGACCAAAGTGCAGAGCACTGATAATTATTAGCAAGCAATTTTTCGATGAGTGGAACTGCACAAAAGCATGATCGCACCGGTTGGTCTAGTGCGCACCGCTGTTTATTTGTTACCAGCCCAACAGGTTCCTTCAATTCGCCAACTGAAACTGCACCAAAATCCTTTGAAAGATCTTAGCTACCGGGATAAGCCATAAGTTTTTTAAAAAGGAGGAGAGAGATGGGTTTTGTTTTTTTTAGAAAAAAAGAATTTTTGTTGCCGAACCTGATGTCGGACAAAACATTCCTCCCGTGTTAGATATCTTGGGATTCTTTCGAAACACCATTCACAATCTTGGCGCCCATCCGAAAAGCTGCTGCAACCAGACTGTGTCTCTTCTAAGAAATCTTGGTATACATGGGAGGCGATAACTTCAACTGCTTGATGTAAAGGCTTGTCGCGATAGTCTTCAGTCTGAACATACATATGAACCTGGCCCGGTGCATACTCCAGCTGCAGTACAGAATCTGGAATTGCTCTGTTGTAGATTTCCCTCACGTGGAAACAAATCTTGTCAAAAAGCAGACGAGAATTTTGTTGATAGCTTTCCGGTAAGTGCTGTGCATTTTTTTTTTTTTTTTTTTTTCGGTGGTGAATTGGCACTGGCATATGTCAGTAAACCAAACGCACCATCAGTTTGTTCCTAAGCAACCCTTAAAAAGGAGAGCCATCAACAGTCTCGCCAAGTGAAGGAGCCTTGCCACCACTCGAACTGCTTCTGAGTACTTGAACCTCAAACACGAAAGAGGTTTGGACTTTTATCGTGCGGTTTTTGGAACCACGTCAATTATGCCAAATGACAGGTAGTAAAGGGTTCATTGAAACTTTCATTTGTCAGTCTTCGGATCGAATTTTGCCGTGCGGGAACCGAAATATTGGACTGAAGTACTATGTGTAACGATGAAATTAGTTCATGATGCATCTGTGTTTCAAATATTAACAAGAATATTTTGTTAATAAAAAGATTTCAATATTTTTTTTTGATAGAAGATCTTCAAATCCATAAAAACGTTGTTTCAAGCGCAAAGAATGCGATAAAAAGTGGAAAAGTGCAACACAGCAACAAAGCAAGAATGAACTCGAAGAACAATTCTGGTCCTTAAATAAGGTTCTGAAAGCAACTTCTAAAATTGTTGTATTTTTGGTTATGACCCTCCTTTTTCTTTTTTCCTCTTCAGCTGTCCCCAGAATAACTTTATTAAGACGATATGACTTTAAAACTGACCCTAAAATTTTGACTTTGAAATTTGACTTTAAAACAGATTAGCTGCGAAAGTTTGGCTTTTGTGGTAATCAATGAAATAAATGATGCTGTTCTGCAAGATTCTCAAAACTGCCTGGAAAACTGGTAAGGAAATCTGATTTACTGGATTTTGCTGGATAGCAATCACCCACTGATAACAACAGGCTTTGCATTCACGAAATTCTTTAGAAATAAAGAAACTGCGCTAAATTCAGTTGAGCAATGCAAAAAGACTGCTAAGAAAACGAGTTTTAGTTAAGCTTAGCAAGAAATATAACGTAAAAAGGCCAACTTGCTCTGAAAAGTAAAAAGTCAGGTTCCAAAAGTATGCTAAATTTGCGTACCAAAAGTGGAAGGTAAGGACAGAGTTCCAGGATCAAAATTACCGGTGCAGTTTTAACAGTGGGCACGGATTAAAAATGTTAATATCTTTTTTAAGTAGGTTTTTTGCCATCCCTGAAAACTCACAAATTTCCTTGGACATCGCATCAAATGGCGTGGAACGAACGGAGAAACAGTAGCGGTCAGAAAAATCGTCTCTTCCTGGGTTTTGCTCATCGTTTGTTCCACGTATTACTGCTGCGACACCCATTTTTTTTCGAACTAGTTGACAGAGATTTGCATTGAATTTATAGCCAATTGGTTGATCGCATCCAATCGAAATGTTCGTATTTGGTTCAAAATTTCTGTAATATTTCAGAACAGATAATGCCGCTCGTATACTAAAGGTTGAGGGTTCAACTCCACTAGTGAGGCAGCAAATCTCTCCACAATTCGTTTATTCGTCTCGATGGTAAATTAATACTGACATACCCAAGAACGTTAAAACCCCCAAAAATTTGCCTTTGAGCAGTACTGGGAAAAACGTAATCCAGTGACAAAATAAATGACAAAATAAGTAACATAAAAATAAAGATTCAGTTTGTTCATTTGGTTTCTTGTAACTTTGATCAGCTGTTGTTTCATTGTCGAGTTTCTTACTGTTATTGGCGCAGCTGGAAACTTCTCCATTACTCTCTTATTTGAGCCCCTCTCATCCAACTAAATCCAAAAATTTCTTCATTGTAATGGCTGCTTTTCCTTTTTTATGCGTTTTTGCATAATTTGCAAATGCAAAAACGCATATTGCGACGACCCCGGTGTGTGTGTGTGTGTGTGTGTGTGTGTGTGT